GGCTGCTGGGCGCCATCTTCTGGTCTGCTTCTGCCATAATGGTCCTAGGCCCATGAGTTGCATTTGTCCCTGTGCCCCCCCCCCCCACCTGGTAGGCCGCCTCAGTGAACTCTGGTCCCTGCTTGGAGTGACACTAATACTCTCAGTCCAGCATCTTTCTGTATGATCCATGGCATCTAGAGAATGAATGGCTGAAGAGGTAGAAAGACTTAACAGGGACCCAGTTTCCCCAGTAAGCTCCTCCCTCCAGCTCTGCAACTGTACCACCCTTCCAGCCTTGTAGCCCCAAGCTCTCTCCCCTTCCATAGCCCTCTCCCTCCCCTAACTCTCTCACTTTTGCTGGCTTGTTCTCCCCCCCCCCCCATGTAGAAATTGTCACCTTTCAAAGAACATCCAAGGTGCAGCCATGTTCATGGCCACCCTCTCCTCCCTGGTCACCACCGTTGCCTGGGCTCATGGGCTCTAGACTGCTTTCCGTTTCCGCCCTGGCCCACTGCTATCTATCTTCTAAGCATCACCAATACTTTAATAATGGATTAGACCAATTACTCTCTACTCACCACTGCCTTCACATCTCTACCTGAGACCCCAGAGGGTGCCGAAGCTCTTAGCACACAACACCCCACACAGGCTTCCCGGGCAGCCCCTCTCCTCTTGGACCTGCTCCCTCATCTGGAAGCACACCATGCTGTGCCCAGGACCCAGCCCCTCCCCCCACTTCCTCCAGGTGCTTTCTTCACTGCTCATTTAAGTCCATCCACTCCCCACAAACGCTCCAACCTTGTCATCATCTCGACCCTAAGCACCTGACTTCTTTTTAGGGCACGTCCACTCTCCTGTAGTGCACAGTGTGTGTGGGGGGAGCGGTGGGCAGGTGCTCATTGCTCTAACCCAGCAAGCACCTGGAACAGCATCCAGATGCAATGTATGCTTGGCAATTAAGTCAGAGGCCAGAAGGGCAGGGCAGGCTAAGGTGCTCAAACACTTGTGCAGGGTAGACGGGGCTCTTACACCAAATTCAGTTTCTGGGTAAGACAGGCAGGCAACCTGATTGGCTTGCCAGCAGCCATTTTTATTTGTCACTATCTGACGCAGCCCTTGTTGAACCAGGAAGGAGGTTCACTGGGGCTGAAAACTGCAGCTCCTCTCACCCACCTGTCCCCCAACCCCCACCCACTGGAGATACTGACAGTTGGCCCCAGCTAGACTCATTCTTTACTCTCTGGACCTTAGGAAGCAGCTGGAGAAGGACTCGGATTCACGTGATGGCACGGCGGCCCTCGGTTTCTTCATCTATTAAGGAAAGGCAATAGCCAGGCATGTTCCGTAGGGCCTGGAAAGATGACACAGGGAGAAGGGAATGCTCTGGACAAAGGTGAGGTGAGGCCTGTCACTACTACAAACATGACAGACCTATAGGACACAGGCAGCAAGACCCTGCTAACATATACCAAGGCCTATACCTTGGACTTTGTCCTATACATGCAGAGGCAAATGTCATACACAGTGTGCTATGGTTGATATATCACTTGCTTATCTGAGTGTCACCCGAGGGTCTGCTGTGATTGAGGGCTTGGCTCCTAGGGTGCCTGGGAGCGCTGGAATCTGGGAAGGTGAGTTCTTGTGGGAAGTCCTTAGGTCGTTGGGAATCACCTTGGAAGATCACATCGGAGGGGATTGTGGGCTTTTCATCTATCACCTCTCTTTGCTTTCCTTGGAGACCTGAGCTTTTGGTCCATCATACACGTCTTGTCATCACCGTGTGCCACCTTCACTAGAACTCAGTCCACGCTGGCGCCCTGCCCTACCAGTCCTTTATTGAGTCAGATATTTAGATGCGGTTGTCCTTTCAACACTAGACTTTCTTAGGACTAGTCCCCTCCTGTTGTCCACGCTGGCCATCCTAGGCCATGGATGGTGGGAACAGCCCTGGATCATTGCTGGGACTCCCATGCACTTCACTTGTCCTCGGATTTTCACTATGACCATTTCTGTGACATTAGTACCATGTGCTCCCTTGCCTAATTCTTTCTTGGGATCAATTCATAAGAAATAAAGTCACCAGGTTATAATTATGTACAATGTCACAGTTTGTTACAGATTAGAGCTATTAATGCACCAAAATGAAGATCCTGAGCTAGACACTGGACAGAAGGGAATCCCTTACTAAGATATCATTTCTAGTCAGCTGTACCATCTCTCCAGCCCTTCGCCTGCCACTAAGGAACACTAACAATGTTTAGTGTATAAAAGCCTCAAAACTAGTCTTCAATTTTGAATCCTCTTGCCTCAGCATCTCCAATGCTACAGGCGTGTACCTAGTGTTCCACATTTCCTTCTTCAACTATGACCTTAAAGTGAGCATGCCCAGAGATACACCTGTCCCCAAGGTGCTTCTCCGTAGGAATACATAGACTGCCCTGACAAAATCCACATGCCCCTGCTGAGAAGGGAATTGCTTTAGAAATAATACCCATGTTTTCCTTACCTGGTACAGGTAATGAGGCTTCACTTTTAGATTATTTTGTTTCTATTACGTTGCTATGCGTTTATGAATGTGTGTGCATGTGTGTGCAGGTGACATGGACTGGAGAAGGAAACGGGACTGGGAAGATGTGTTCACATTCTCTCTCTGTCTTGGTGCGTGGCAAGGTGCCCAGCAACGGTTGCATCTTCAGTCTGGTTGTGAGTCGAGAATGACATTGTGGAGGGAAGGCTCTCCCCGTTGGACAGAGAAGTAAAGTCCCTGTGTGAGAGAAACGACGTCCCATTCCTGCCAGCCCCGGGCTTTGAGCTTGTGAGATGGCGTGGGTCCCAGCCTGTTCTGCAGGGAGCCTGTGTGGGAATGAGAGCAATAGCAAGCCTGCCAGCGCCTTTCTTTCTTCCAATCCCACCACCTCACTTTGTCTTGTTCTGTTTGCTTGGGTTTCTCTGTGTAGCTTTGGAGGCTGTCCTGGAATTCTCTCTGTAGACCAGACTGGCCTCGAACTCACAGAGACCCACCTGCCTCTGCCTTCTGAGTGCTGGTTTCAAAGGCGTGTGCCATCGCTGCCACCACGTGGTCCCAGTTCCACTTTTAAGAACTCATGGAACAGGTATATCACATATGTAAAGAAGCATGGAACATCCTCACAGGCTTGAATGTGACCACCAAGGAGAGAGTCCATTCACCAGGTCCCAGGACAGGGGTGGGGGTAGGGTGGGGTGGGGGGCTGTCAGTTACTTAGATCATCCTATGGTGGTCAGCTGCAGCTTCTTCTGTTATCTTTACTGTACAAAATGTGTGTGTGTGTGTGTTGTGTGTGTGTGTGTGTGTGTTTCTAAATATATGTAAGTATAATCTGCTTTCTGTATAATGTTATTTGTACGAATACAGTTTCAGGGCTGACTGCTTGGTATTGGATAACCAAGTGGTGTGCTCATCCCTGGAGAAGGCTACTTCCTCCACTCTCAGCTTCCCTTAGGCATCTGGAGTCCTTCATCTAGGGCTGAGTCGTTATGGGCTTCTCTCCCTCCTCTTTGGCATGTCTGTTGTCGTCGTCCTTGTTCAGCTCACGTTTAGGCAGCCATGATGGTGAAGTCTCCTTTGGGTGCAGCTTCTGACATTCTTAGGAGAAACAGTCACACTGGTGACCAGAGGCTGGGACTAGGGGATGGATCCGAATAGGGGGTGGATAATTAATGAATGGAGACTGTCCTGGACAGACATGGAGATGCTCTGTGTACAGCTTCATCATCCACCGGTGGGCCTGAAGGGTGAGAAGTCTGGCCTCCCAGAGGGAGCAGGAGGAAGGCTAGCTGGGGTACTTGGTGCAAGTAGCCATGGTGAGGGAGGATGCTGGCCAAAGTCTGGCTCAGTGAAGCAAGGCAGAGGGTCTCCAGCCACCTCTGAGTAAATGCGAATGGGCTCATTTTCCTGCAACGATGGGCTATTTGGCGGGGGGATAAAGAAACAGAACAAAGGGATGACACCAACTTGGCCTCACCTGCCTTCCTTTGACCCACTCCAGTGGACTCTGGTGTGAGGCAAAGTCAAAGCTGGGAAGGACAGCTGCTCAGACTCCAGGACGGGGACTCACTGCTGAGAAGCTGCAGACTGCGATCCCGGAGCCGCCTGGAATCCTGCTTGAGAGCAGAGCCTGGCATTGTGTCCCCTTTGCATCCCCTGTGCAGCCTGAAGCTTATTCCATTGAGTTCTTCGCTACAGTGTGTAAAAAACAAAAATCAAAACAAACAAAACAAACCAAAACCCCAAAACAGATACTGACTAATCTTGGGATCCTGCAGCTTGTGCTCACAGTGGAACTGGGCATCTTTGAGGCTTTAAATGGGGAGTCGTTGTGGCAGCGTCCCCGGAGAGAAGTGTAGCTGAACCCAAAGAAAGCAGTTTCTCCAGGTAGGCTATAGGAAGAGGGGTGGAGGCCAGGGAGGGGACCCAGGCTGTATGGAAGACACAGTTTAGACAGGTGGAGAGAAGTCAGTGGGCAGCGAGGAGTCTGTATCCGACATGGATCAAAGCCATGGGTCAAAGGGAGGAGGAGGGCCCAGGAGAAGTTAGTTATTATTGTTGGGGGGAGGGAGAAGTAAGGGGGTGGCTGGCAGACCCCGGAAACACTGAAGAGATGGGTTCAGCATGGCTCTGACTTGGCACCGGGGCTGAAGATTGGGGTGGAGGGGAGCTGAATGTGGTGGCCGGCTTGCAGTCCAATTAGATTTGGGGTTTTGTCTTCTCCTTGCACGTCATTTGACGCTGTCTGGAGAGGGTGAGGCCGAAACCCAATCCTTTAGTACCCTGGGTCCGTTAATGTTTAATCAGAGAGGATCTTCCGATGGGGCTTGGGGTGGCGTGATCTCCCGGCCCCCAGGCGTCCAGCACCCACACCCTAGGCTTTCATTCCCACGTGGACACACGGACTGCAGCGTGAGACTGGAGGGCTGAGCCTGTGCTTGGTGCCTCAGGGACTTCACAGCCCGCAGCCCCTGAGCCCCTAACCACCGCTTCAAATTCCTCTCCTCGATGGGTACCAGCTGCTCTGCAAGGCTGTGGTGGCTTCTGTCGCCACTGCTGCTGCTGCTGCTGTTACTGTGCCACATGGGCGCCGGTGCCCAGGATGAGGACACCGAATACGAAGAGCTGATGCTAGCCCTCCCATCCCAGGAGGATGGCCTGGCCGACGAGGCCCTGCATGTGGCCACTGCCACCTTCCACCGTTGCTCCAAGGTGCGGGCGAGGGATGCCAGGGAATGGTGTCGGTTCCGGGTTGGGGGGGGCGTTCTGCGAGGGTCTTCTCTGCTCACCCAGTCCTCTGGTGGTCTCAAAGTGCAGCCCCGGGATATAGGCAGCAAGACCCAGCATGCAGATGCACCTGTGGCAGAGTGGTGGGGTGGACTAGGGTAGACCATGTGCTAAAAGCTTAGTTTTTAAGGGGAGGGAGTTACTAGTGCAGTCATGAAGAGAGGTTGTTCTCCTAGGTAAGGTTCTCCTAGGTAAGGGACCAAGGGGAGGCTGAGAACGGAAATAGCACATCTTTCTCAACCGAGTGCCAATAGTCACCCCGGGTGTCCGTTGGGGCTCTGTGAGCCAGAGCTGAATGATTTGGGGCACCAGTGGGTGAGTGAGTGGGTGGGGTCAGCTTCCTTGGGATATCTGTCCCTGGCTCTGGGCCACAGGAAGCTTCTGCCTGGGGTGACGCCATTTTCTCCAAGTTAATCTTTCCAGGGAAGAATGAAAATAATTTTGGGAAAGGAATTTTAATCTAATCTTTGATGCACCCCTGGCCTCCAGGAAAACTCTCATTCCATTGCAGAGGAGCCTCCTGATTGTGTAGCTTTTCATTAGGCAGAGGGTATTCTAGGTGGGGCTTTGAAGTATAATTAGGAGCTCCAAATGAGTGAAGGTGGCACTTAGGATATTCTTCTAGAGAGGAAGTGACGTAGATGAAGAACTGGGGGAGGCAGGGGAGGAATAAGGCTCATATGTCTATAGCCCCTACACTGTCTTCTGAGATATGGGATGTTCTGAACCCAAAAGACCCTTTATGGTTTACCAGATGGTAAACCGTACCTGATCTAACTCAAGGTTGTCCATAATCGTCAACTCATTCCATCAGTGTGAATGTGGCTATGCAGACATTTGTTGCGCTGACCCCAGAGCTTACTCCTCATTGCCTACTGCTGCCTTTGTAAAATCCAAGTGAGGTCTGAATCTCCAAATCCAGTTGACCTGGAGGACTGGGCTTCTCTGGCAGGAGTCAGAGGCGCATGTGCAGTGATGTAGGAGGTGACACACAGATGGGTTAAAGTAGGGGTCAAGGGGGGAGCATCCAGATTGGACTTCAGCCATTAGGTGGTGAGGTTTTTGAGCAGGGGCCCCTGTTCCCACAGCCTCATCCTCGACTCCTCTCTGTCTGGAGGTGTTACCTTGCTCCCTTCACTTCACCTCTTCTGCCCCCATTTGCCAAGCACCCAGCTCGGTGCTGAGCATACTCATCTCTTTCAAGCATCCCTGCAGGTGTATCCTGGGTGTGTTTTGGACCCTGTAACACAAGAGCTGTCTGGGGCAGAGGTAGGATAGAAAACATTGGAGGTGGGATTAAGGTCTGAAGCCTTTGGCTTTTCTCCCTGGGCTCCTGGTGGAGAGGAGTCAGAGGTGCTTGGTAGGAAAGAAGTTACTTTGGATGAGTCATTGAACACGGAGGCGTGGCTAGGAAGGCCTTGGGCACAAGTGGTCTTTAGGGAGAGTCAGCTTAGTGTCCAGGCCTTGGTGGAGTCCCTAAAGAGCTGGGTGTGGTATGGAGGCTGCCACATGCGGCCCATGCCTTCCCTCCCTGCCGACTGCCAAGCTTGAAAAAGTGCACACCTCAGTAACACAAATAGTTGCTTAGCTGGGGGACTGGTGTTTCACAATTTGATCCCTTCTCTTTACAGTTTGTCTACTTTGTCTCCTTGGCTTCACTTCTGATCTGCAGGCAGGACTGGGATGTAACATGCACATCCTTGACTTTTCCACACTATCCTGTTGTGTGAACTCTGTTCCTATAGAACATTGTTTATTCCCCTGGGAGGAATACCTCCACCCAGCAAAGGAAGCCCTGGAAATATGCTCCTTAGCAGTAGAGGGTAAGCATTCAAGGGCGTTATGTAAACACCTTTTCAGGCATAGGACTCTTTAGGTTTTGATTCACTGTCCAATCATCAAAATGCATTTGTCTCCCAAACCCTATCCTTTGTCCTAACCCCATATGCTACCTATTCGGTGGTGATCACCATGGAAGGGTTAGCATTTCAATTTTATGCTGCTTGATTAACAGTCTTTTTATGCCACCAAGTCCTGAATTGAAGGGAGTTAGCAGGTTTCAAACAAGTCCTGGCCAACATGTCCCAGTCATGGGGTACAAGGTGCTTCAGCAATCCCTCTCAACAGTTTCAGAGTATATGGAGATGTAGCTTCAGATGAGGACATGGCAAGTTCAAAACCCCCAAGTGTGCTGTAGGGATGGGAATAGGCTCATACTTTGCACATATCCCCACTGAGGAAGAACACCAACTCTTCCCTCAAAGGGCTGGAAATACACCAGGACTACAAAGGCAAGGTTAGGTCTGCCTGAGGATCCTTCCTTTTGAGCTTACTGGCTCTCCCAGGATAATGCAAATGCACCATCTTATAGGGAAGCAGGGGATGGGCTAGCAGAGAACATTTTGTTTTCTGAATCAGAAGAATCGGAAGAGTGGCAGTGAGGAGAGCTGAAGCTTCAGGCAAGGCTCATCTATAAAGCTTCCCCTTTCTGTTGGAAGGGGCTGTCTGGTGGTTTCTCCTGTGCTGGTAGGACAGGAATAGCTTGCAAAGACTGAATTACTTAGATTAAAAGGGGTCGGACATTTAAAGGGCTCACCTCTCCCTGCCCATGAGCTCACTTAAAATAACACGAAACATCTTTCTACTGCTTTATGTGCAATATACCCTGTGGTGGCAGCCAGTAACAGTATGTGTCCATATATTCTGAGAGGTCATAGAAATCGGTTTTGTTTTGTTTTGTTTTTTGCATGCCCCCTCCACCTTGTGCTTTATTGTGTACAAGAAGCACATGTGGTCATCTCCTTTGTTTTTGGTTTGCCTCACGACTACCCTGGTGTTTTGGAGTGGGTTACCAGAACCGTATACCTCTCATTAGATTCCCTAGGTTTTGGTGCCATGTGTTTCAATCTGCCAATGATTGCTTAGTGCAACTCAAGGTTCAACAGAACCAGGGACCTCAAGGCTCTACAAGAGCCTTTTACCAGTCTTCTGTGGAGTGTTTATTTGGATAGTTCAAAGCGGAGACAGAGAAACCATGGAAAATACACATATTAATTATTATTCTCAACAGATGTGCTCCGGAGACAGAAGGTCTCATGGCTAAATGCACTAAGCTACATTGCTAAGGAGGGGAGAGGAAAGATCTTTCCTGAGGCGTTCCTTGGGCAGGTAGAGACATTCCTCCCAGGGAACTGAATGAAAGTCTGTAGGAACACAGTTCACACAAGACAATGTGGGAAAGTCTGTTACATGCATGCTACACTGGGCCACTGAGGGTCTACTGGAACCCTCATGTCCTCTGCTTCTCTTCCTCCCTGGGGACCAGGAGGCCTGGAGGTTGCCAGGCACCTACATAGTGGTGCTGATAGAGGGGACCCAGCGGCTGCAGATTGAACATACCATCCATCGCCTGCAGACCCAGGCTGCCCGCCGAGGCTATGTCATCAAGGTTCTGCATATCTTCTATGACTTCATCCCTGGCTTCTTGGTGAAGATGAGCAGTGACCTATTGGGCCTGGTGAGCTACCCTCTTGTGTGTGGGACTTCCCAGGAGGGACAGGCTTCCCTTTCCATGTCTAGTGTGCCCACTACTGAGAGTCAGGATCAGTGAGTACCTATGAACTGGCAGTTACTGGTTCCCTGAGTAGCTGCCTTGTAACCTTGTAACCTTGGCTGTGTCCCAGTGCTATGCCTTATCAGGGGTTCAGAGAGGAGGCTTACAGCCTGCAGACAGGGATTGCTAACAATTCTGATCTGAGGGCGGCAAGGAAATAAACAGGCTCACGCATGCATTCCTCTCATGGCTCAAAAATGTTCTCCCCAGAAGTTCTCTCTAAAAAGCTCTCTGTAAGATTTCTCTCTAACAGTTCTCTTCTCGAAAGCTATTTCTCTAAAAGCTCTCTTAAAGTTCTCCTAAGATCTAAAAGTTCCTTCCAAAAATTCTCTCAAGGTTCCTTCTAAAAAGTTTCCAAAAGTTCTTTCTCCTAAAAGTTCTCTCGATCCCACAAGGTGTCTAATTTTTATCTCCACAGGTACATTTAACAACTCTCTGACAATAGGGCATGCGTATCCCTCAGAGTCAGGAGGGTGGGTAGGGTTTTGAGAAAAGCAGGTGCCTCCTGTCTCTTCCCTGGATGTGACTTACAATAAAACAACCTGGAAACTTAAGTCTCAGGGAGGATGTGACTTGCAACACATGCTGTTAAGTCATTAAAGGGGACTTCTCAGGGCTATATCAAAGGGAAAAGCCAAGGCTATTCAGTGTGAGATCGGGGGCTGCAGCTCTTACTGCTGATGCCCCCATAAGAAGGAATTCCTTTCTCTGGGGCCTATTTGAGAATATAAAACACCCAGTATATATTCTACGTACAGCCAAATTCATAGTAACAAATATTCTGGATTTGATACCTAGGATATTAATGGCTGCTTCTGTAATAAATGATAAAGGCTCATAGCAATGTCTACATTCATCGGAGGACAGAAAGGAACACAAGATAGTTTGCAGCAGAGCTTGGCCCCTATTCCATGGCATGCCTGCCAGTGTCCTCGTCTATTTTTTTTTTTTTATTGCCTATGAGAACTATGGGGATAAGACCTGAGGCATTGGCATATGTATATCCCAGTGCCCCACTAGTTTGTTTTACTTAGAGCATGTGTCTCTATCTCCCAGGACTATCTTTAAATCAGATGTGGTAATGGTCGCCACCATTCAAAGACTAACGGAGAATGTGGAATACTTTTTGTATAGGGGTAGGTTGAGATAGTGTTGTGCTCTATAGTTCGAGCTGGCCTCAAACTCATGATTTCCCCAACTCTGCTTCTGGAATGCTTGTATTACAGACAAGTGCCAACATCCCCAGCTGAATGTAGAGTGTTTAAGCAGATGTTAAGTGACGAAACTGACAGGGGGTATGTTAGGGAGCCCTGGGGATACCGAGGCACCAGGGTATCTTGGGCCTCCAGGAGGGGAGGATGAAGAGAGGATGCTGAAGCATGGAGGAACAGCACGTTACCTGAGTTTACAGCTACTGTGAGCCTGGTTAAGGAGCAGGGTGGGTGCAGGCCCCCTCGCTATCAAACTGATGTGGATGCCTCCTGTTAGCTGAACCTGGGAATCTGGTACTGTGGTCAGTGTGAAGGATGGAGGCAGGCACACAATGGCTAGCACTGCTGTCCTGCTTTGAGAGTGAAGTTTGGGCACTAAGATTCCTGGCTCCCAGGTGAGATGAGGAGCCCATAATTCTTCTGACAAGTCACATGTGTTCAGCTATGGAACTTACAGAGCACTGTATTCCCTAACCAGAGAGGAGGAGGACACTGGCCCCTGGTCTATCTTCTGGGCCCCAGAATGGAGATTTTGGGATAATGTGGGCAGGTGCTCATTGGAGATGTGGATGACAGTTGACTCAGGTGGGGCTGTTATGGGCTGCTGTTCGCTGAGGGGCTTTTGAAACTAAGTGCTATGGCTCTCTGGCTTCTGTAGGCCCTGCAGTTGCCCAATGTGGAGTACATTGAGGAAGACTCCTTGGTCTTCGCGCAGAGCATCCCCTGGAACCTGGATCGGATTATCCCAGCAGGGTACCAGGCCAAAGAATACAGCTCCTCCAGTGAGGTTCCCAGTAAGCCTCCAGTCTCTTCTTGCTTTGCTCTGACCCCGTCCCCCACTTGCTAGTGCTCCAGAGTCTGCACTGACCCCATCTGTCCTCTCTGCAGTGCTCCATGCAGAATGCAACAGTCTTCCCCTAAATGGCCTTCCCTCCTCCCTCCAGCTTTTCATCCTTGTTGGTCTCATCCCTCCAATCTGGATAGGCCCCTCATGCTTCTTCACCTCTCTCAGAAAAGAGGCTAAACCTGATTGACCCTACTATCTGTGGGACACCCAGCCCTGTAGACTGGGGCAGACCCCTCAGTAGGACAGACAGAGCCCACTTCAACTGCTCCCATCTACATAGCTAGTCTCCCAACTCACTGTGTCCCCCACCTCCAGCATCATCAGCTGCTGGAGGTTCCCTTCATCTGTCACTGGGTCTCCTCTGCCTAGCATGTCTTGTTTTTAGACCTGGAGGAAGGTGACTTGGGTCTGGTAGCACTGTGAGTGATACCCGCTTTAGCAAAGGATCAGGTTCTGTGGGGTCTGAAGCGTCTGTCCCCTGTGGAGTTTTTAAGTATGCAAGGCAGGTTAATCTATGGCTTAAATAAGGGTATGGATTAGGGGAGATCCGTGAAGTCTGATGGCTGGGAGTGTCTGAACTTCTTAGGCTGCATCCAACCAGCCAGAGTGCCCCTGGGGGTAGCCACAGAGCTCTCCTTTGAAGCACCTTGCCCTACTCCTTTACCAGGGACTGAGGTTGGCCTAAGGTTTGCTAGGGAGGTACTCTAAGACTTAACTGTATCCCCAGCTCAGGATGAGAATCTTTTTAAAGATTCATTCATTTTTGTTTTATGCATATGAGTGCTTTGTCTGAATGTTTGTATACGCGCCGTGTGCACGCAGTATCCGCAGAGGCCAGAAGAGGGCACTGGGTGTTCTGGAACAGCTCAGGACACGAGCAGTGACTTAACCCCATGACTCTTCTCTCCTTCCCACCAATGCTGCCATGGGAAGATGGAAGTGGCCAGGTAGAGGTGTATCTCTTAGATACCAGCATCCAGAGTGACCATCGGGAAATTGAGGGCAGGGTCACCATCACGGACTTTAACAGTGTGCCTGAAGAGGATGGGACACGCTTCCACAGGCAGGTGAGTGTCTCAGGCTCTCACTTCGTCTCAGAGGTGGGCAGAGGTGCTGACCCCCATCCTCTCCCCTCCCCCGGTCATCATGTCAGCACTGCCCGACTTTCCCTGCCTTCTGTGGGTGGGATGTCAGTCTGTCCAGGCATCTGCTAATATATCATGAGGTGAGTAGAGTTGTCTCACACGATCCCTGTGTTGACTGAGCAGGCAAGCAAGTGTGACAGCCATGGTACCCATCTGGCAGGCGTGGTCAGCGGCCGGGATGCTGGTGTGGCCAAGGGCACCAGCCTGCACAGCCTGCGAGTGCTCAACTGTCAAGGGAAGGGCACAGTCAGCGGCACCCTCAGAGGTGAGTAGCACTGTGGGTGCTACCCTCTGTGTGAAGGTAGCCAAAGCTGAGCGGGAACCAAGGTCTCCTAGTCAGGTGGTCTCTGCTACAGTTTAGGGTGACAGAGTTGGCATGGTGCCAGAGATCAAGGTTGCAGGGGTGAAACTGAGGCTTGGGAGGTGGCAGGGCTCCTTCCAGGTGGGTGAGTGCTCTTCCACATCTCTCCACTGTTTCCCTACAGAGCCTTTACAGTGCTACTTTTTATCATGCTGCATTAGGCTTGCAAAGCCCTGAAGGGGTGGAAGCCATCTTTCCCCGTCTGCGTGCATGCTTACCCCCCAAAGCTGGGCACTTACTTGGTGGAGGAACTGTAACAGATCTTTCCAGACTTCTTCAGGTTACCCCATCAGTCCACTCTAGCGAGTACCCAGCGTGCTAGGTATTGTAGGTAGCAGAGAGGGAGGGAGGGAACACTGGCTTATTGTATCTCATTGTGCTGGGCGTGTGATGCAAGGATTGGCTTACAAGCCTGAAGCTGGCATGAGATGGTTGTTCAACTGCCAGGAATCACAGCCAGAGAAGGTGACTTGGCCAGGGCCCATAGCTGAAGACTACCAGCCTCTGGGGAAGGAGCAGTTAATTAATGGTTTCATCATCAACCAGTCAGATGCTGGCCCTAAGCTAGTCCAGGCAGCATAAGGGAATCAGTTTGGCCTATGAGCCCTGTCTGGGACTTCAGTTGTAATTTATTTATTTAATTTTATGAGTGTAACTGTTTTGCCTACATGTATGTATGTGTACCAGGTACATACATGCCTGGTGCCCACAGAGGTCCAAAGAGGGGGTCAAATCCTCTGGAACTGGAGCACAGTTGGTTGTGAGCTAGCATGTTGATGCTGGGAACTGAACCTGGGTCCTCTTCAAGAGCGTCATGTGTTCTTGATCACTGAGCCATCTTCCCAGCCCCACGCCTGGGACTTCAGAGCACAGCCATTGACACACATTTAAATCAATAGCCTCTGTTCCACCAGTGACCTCTTGTGCCTAGTCCACCCCCGTATTGACTGACTCCAGTCCAGCTTGCCACCCCGAAGGCCACTGTGTGGAAAGAGACTGCCCATTCCCTGGAAGTCCTTACCAGGCAGGCTATGGCCTCTGGAGGGCTTCTTGTGAAAGAATGCTGCCCCTTTCCAGGCCCCCACCAGTGTATAGAAAGCTCCTAGTGCATTACAGGGCAGACTGGGCTCAGCATGAGGGGGCTGTTGCTTCCACACTGGCCACAGGGTGAAACTGAGCAGGTAAGGTGACAGGTCAAAGCACAGGTCTACACAAGCCAGGACCTGATAGCCAGCTGTAATCATGAATGCTACCTACATCCTATATCTACTTCACTGCCTAGTACTTCCTCCTGGTGTGAGGGGGGGGCTCACCAGACAACCCTTATGAATACGGTCCTGGACTCCAGTTCCCAGCTCAGCCACAGCCCCCCAGGGACAGCTAGAGCCTGAACGGGAACTATGCTGTTAGGACAGGATGACTAGGGTTAGACTCGGGTCTCCAGGTTATGGGCTGGCAAGGATGGAGCTAACTCTAGGGTGGGCCTGTGGCAGACTTGATCGTTCACGCTCAAAGGGGGAGCAGAGTTTTGTCGATGTCATTACATCTGTGGTGAAGAAGCTGTGGGAGCGTTGTGGCATCTTTAACTCCTGAAACAATACAAACAGCATTTGTCTGTTTTATAGAGGATGGATTGGCAGCTTGTGAGTGGGTGCCAGAGTGGTCTCTGGAGGTTTGTGAAGCCTGAAGGATGCCAAGGAGGCTCTCTCATTTATGGAGGACTAGGAATTTTCTGGAAAGGCATAAAACAAAGTTTGGTGAGGATCCTGTAAGTTAGCATATTCAGGTTCCCTGAGAAGCTGGTGTGAAGAAGTTAAAGGTGAAGAAAATGTTTCCCTTTGTAAAGCTAGTGTTTGTTGTTTATTTTTTTAACTCATTATTTGTTTGGCAAATTCATACATGTGTGTATTTTGGTCGTTTTACCCTAGTATCTATCTCTTTCTTCCTCTGATGAGCCAGCCCCCTCTTCTTTCCAACAAATTTCCCTTCTATTTTCATGCCTTTTGGTTTTGAGTTTGTTTTGTGACCTACTGAGTTTCATTACTGTTGCTGGCACTAGTGTGGGGTATTTCCCCCCAACTCAGTTCTAGCACTAGTCAGGCTTCTCTAGAGTAACCCAACTTACAGAATGAATCTCTCTTTGTACACATAGAGGATCTGTAAGAATGACTTACAGGTTCAGCTATCCAATGATGGCTGGCTATGAATGGAAAGTCAAAGAATCCAGCAGTTGCTCAGTCCACAGGGCTAATGTCTCAGCCGGTCTTTACTATATGCCAGAATCCCAAAGTAGACTTCTTTGAGAATGCCAGTGAAGGAATGGACTTGCTAGTAAGGTAAAAAAAAAAAAAAAAAAAAAAAAAAACAACAATAACAACAAAAAAATGCTTCCCTTTTCAATGTCCTTATTTAGGCTTCCAGCAGAGGGTTGGCCCAGATCAGAGGTGGTGTTATCCAATTCAAAAGATCTAGATGAAAGGTGTGTCTTACTACCTCATAGATCTGGATTATAAGTAGAATTTCCCACTTCAAATCAAGCAAAAATCGCTCACAAGTATGCCCCACTCCCCATTTTGGGGTTTTAGTTAATTCCAGATGTAGTCAAGTGGACAATCAAGAACAGCCATCACATCCTGCAATCGTGTCTTACCATCTAGTTCTGAGGTACACCCAACTCCTTTAATATGGAGTCTAAACTTATATCAGGGCTGAAATCCTTCAGGGACCCAGTCTTTTTCAGGCCTTCATTAGATTGGTTGAGGCCCAACAGTGTTGTAGAAGTCAGCCACTTTACTCAAAGAAAGTGAGTAAATGATTCAAATGTCAGTCGTATATGAAAATACTTTCAAGGCAGCAATCAGATAGGTTTGATTAAGCATTAGGGCACCAAACTATGACAAAGTGATCCATCACCCCGTGCCTCTGAGGGAAGGAACTGGAAGAGGAAAGCATACCTCTCCAGAAGTGGACCTGGGCTATTTTTTTTTCCCTCCAGGCCTGGAGTTTATTTGGAAAAGCCAGCTAATCCAGCCTTCAGGGCCGCTTGTGGTGCTGCTGCCCCTGGCGGGCGGGAATAGCCGGATCCTCAACACTGCCTGCCAGCAGCTGGCAGGGACTGGGGTAGTGCTGGTTGCTGCAGCTGGTAACTTCCGGGACGATGCCTGCCTCTACTCCCCAGCTTCTGCTCCAGAGGTGGGTGCCGGTGCTGTTCCCCCAGAACAAGGGAAGATGGCAGATGGACCCTTCGCTGGCTGAGCTGCCTGGGCTGAAAGTGGTTAGAGCTCCCAAGTGGGACCCTGGTGGGACTCGTGCCTTCTCCACCCCCAACTCACTGTCCTAGCCAATCCCTTGACCTCCCTCCCCACTGTCCAGCTCTCCATCCATAACTGACCCTAGTGAGAGTGGGGGTTACTGTAAGCCCCAAAGACCTTATGTAGTGACCACGGGATTGTCCACCATGACTGGGGCAGGTGCCTCCTGGGAGGAGCTGACAGTCCAGTGGGTCCATCCTCATCTGGGGGACACCTGCAGGCCATCTGCTATGCAGTGGACTATGAATGCTAGGAGTGCAAAAGTGGGAGGCTCCTGCCCCAGTTCAAGGCTGCCCTCCCAGCCTGCCCTCCCGGACCATCAGGGCTTACCCAGCTGCTGAGTTTAACATTGGCCCGGGCCAGCATGTCTCCTCCATCTTGGCTGTTTGAGGCTTCTACGCAGTACCATGCCTGCTCAATAGAGGAGCCGTTCCTGCTCAGCCTCAGCACTAGAACATGGGCTCCACAGGGGGCCAGGAATGGGGTCTGGCACACGGTGGGGAGCCCTGGCCAAGGCTAAATGCTAGTGTTCCCCCTGAGGAGCTGCATTTCTCATAACAGATGGCATTTCCGAGGGACGCAAGTTGGAGTTGGCTAGTCCAGAGGCAAGCTCTTGCTACCCCATCGTGGCCCTGATCTCTCTTTGCTACCCGTCTCTTCACCTCGCCAGGTTATCACAGTTGGGGCCACCAATGTCCATGACCAGCCAGTCGCCCTGGGGACCTTGGGGACCAACTTTGGACGCTGTGTGGACCTCTTTGCCCCGGGGAAGGACATCATTGGTGCCTCCAGTGACTGCAGCACATGCTTCGTGTCGCAGAGTGGGACGTCACAGGCTGCTGCTCATGTGGCCGGTAAGTCACCACTCCACCATCCTGTGACCATGGCCCTTTGGCAAACAGCAGAGTCTGTACCCTGACCCTCTGGGTCAGCTCCTGTGCCCGAGGGCAAATGTGCGGGTGATCTGATGATTCTTGTGATGAGTAGCTTTCTGTCAGTGTGGTACAGGGTCTGAAGAGGAGGAGGTCTTTATTCTGACTCGTGGCTTCAGAAGGTTCAGCCCTTGGTCACTCGGCACCTTTATTTTAGGGCATGCCATGGTGGGAGTGTGTGGCAGAGAAAAACCGCTCCCCTCGTGTGGCTGGAAAGCAGAGAGGAAGGGCACACACCCAATGGCCTGTTTCTATTAGGACCCACCTTCTAAAGGTTCTGTCTCCCCCAGTGACAAAGCCTTCAACATACAGGTTTCTTTTGGGGAAGTTTAAGAATCAAATTATCACACACAGGACAGAAGAACACTGGGTATACCAGGGAAGGGGGCACAAACAAACAGAACAGAAAGCAGTCCGGACTCTTAGAAGGAACCCCATGGAGGCATCTGTACAGCCTGGGGGTCAGGGAAGCCTCGCTGGAGGAGGGACGTTTGATGTGGGGTTTGGTGGATGGCCTCACCTAGCAGACACCTGCAATTGCCGAGGCCTGTAGGCAGGAGAGGATGCCTTCTTACCTGATTTTCACCAAGTGCTTACATTTCTAGATGAACAGGTTTTGTATGTGTGTGCATGCATGAAATGTCTGTGCATGAAATGTGTGTGTGTGTGTGTGCATGAAATGTATGTGTTTTCATGAAGTGTGTGTTCATAAAGTGTGTGTGTGCATGAAATGTGTGTGTGTGTGCATGAAATGTGTGTGTGAAATGTGTGTGTGTGTGTGTGTGTGTGTGTAATGTGTGTGCCTGCCTGCATGTGTTTGTCCCTTCATGTGAACCCAGGCAGTTCTATAGTTGGGAAGAGGGCCAGGCTACCACCTTCTATGATTCTGCACCCACAGGCATTGTAGCCAGGATGCTGACTCTGGAGCCGGAGCTCACCTTGGCTGAGCTGCGACAGAGGCTGATCCACTTCTCTACCAAAGATGTCATCAACATGGCCTGGTTCCCTGAGGACCAGCGGGTGCTGACCCCCAACCTGGTGGCCACACTGCCCCCGAGCACTCATGGGACAGGTGAGCAGGGTGGCAGGGAGGTCACACTGTCTCCTTCCCATCCTCACTAGAGGGTTTCCTTTTCTTAGCTACAGTTTAAGGGCGGAGGCTTTGAAAAGGCTTGATGACATTTCATGAAGCATTTCCATGGGAAAACAGTGAGCTTGAAGGCCTTTCTTTCCTGCCATCAACTGAGGCTTTCCCTAACATCCCAAGACCCTACTCATCTAGAACTTGTTACAGGTGGGCAGCTGCTCTGCAGGACAGTGTGGTCGGCACACTCAGGGCCCACACAGACAGCTACTGCTACAGCCCATTGCACCCCAGGAGAAGAGCTGCTGAGTTGTTCCAGCTTCTCCAGGAGTGGGAGGCGACGGGGTGATCGGATTGAGGTGCCCTGGCCCTGTGTGTGTGTGTGTCTGTCTGTCTGTCTCCCACCAGTCTTGGGCCTCAGCAGCTGCAGCTGGTTGGACCCTGAGTCTTTCTTCTAGTTCCCATTTTCAGGCTGAAAGGTGTGGCCAGAGAGCCACATCCAGGATGGGCAGTGCCCACTAGGCATCCAGTCAGCCTTGCCGTGGAACCGTTTCACTGTGTTGGGGTTAGGGTGTGGGCCATGCAGATGCTGTGTGACACTGAATTTGGTTTAAGGATAGCACCTGACCAGGTGGGCCAGGTCCTAGGGACAGTTCCTGTGATGATTCCCAGGCTGGGGCTGGAGCTGGTATGCCAATGTCTCCATCTGGAGATTTGATGACGGAGCTGCCTGGAGATGGAACAGTCTGTCTTGGGCCTGGACAAGCTCGTTGTCTCTAGAGCAGTAGAGAGAGATAAAGATGATGCTGAGGGCCCCAAGGGTCCCAGCTAGGTGCCTGCGTACCTTTGTCCCAGCCCTGTGCTCTTTCTCACTGGTTTTCTTTCTGTGGCCCTCAGGCCGTAGGGGGCCAGTGCGTCTGCAAGGCCCTCAATGCCTTTGGGGGCGAGGGTGTCTACGCTGTTGCTAGGTGCTGCCTGCTTCCTCATGCCAACTGTAGCATCCACACCACTCCTGCAGCCAGAGCCAGCCTGGAGACCCATGTCCACTGCCACCAGAAGGACCATGTCCTCACAGGTAGGAGTTCAGTCCAAGCTGAGAAAGATGCCCTGTTTGTTAAGTGCTGGAGCCTGGTCCTCTAGAATGTGGGACCCAGGGCCCATTTTAAGCTGGCCTCCATGTAGTGTGATGATCTTTCTTCTTAGCTTCCTCCTGCAAGAGAGGGAATGGAGGCTCTGCCTCCTCAGGAGTGATAATGGCAGAGTAAGGTGGGTGGCTCTGAGGCCTGTCTCCAAGGGGGAAACCCAGTTTGCATTCTGGTACTCAGCAGCACAATCAAGTTCTTTATCAGCCCTGTGCTTGGCTTCCTCATCATGAAGGGCAAGGGTGTGTGCCAAGCATGTAGCCCAGGGCTGGGATAAGGTACCTTAGCTATGCCTGTCATCTCACTGCCCTGCCTCTGGGCTAGGGAACATTGCTGGTCACTATCAGAAACATTCCAAGGCAAGTAGCAGAAACCACAGGTGAAGACCTTGAGTGCCTTTAGGGGATGGTGGCTCTCAGGGCAGGAGGCAGAGCAGTCCTGTATGGACGGAGGACGTTAGAGAAAGCATGAAGGGGCGGGAAGTCACTGGGAATGGCTCCCTCAGGGATAGATTCCAGTGAACTATAGGCTGGGGAGCCACTGAAGGTTCCAGACTGAAGGGTAGGGTGGGCAGTGCTCTGGCAAAGAATGGACCTGCAGAAGGCAGATGAGCCTAGTGGGTGGCAGCAGACTGGACTAGGCAAGGTTCCCTAGCCCTGTTGGTTGCACATTTATACTGGGCTCTCTCTTGGATTTGGGAGTGTCAACAGCTAAGCCCCATGTTTGGAGCAGCCTTCTCTATCTGCAGCCTAGCAGAACTCCACTCACCAGCTAATGGAGCTGCCCCTCCAGGTAGAGTGGCTCTACCGAGGTCCTGTAGCTAGGATACAGAACTCTTAGTCCCTAACACGGTAATATGCAGTCTTTGCTGTGCATAGGTTATGTATATGCTGGCACTTCACACATCCTGCCTCGACCCCTCTTCACAGACATCATTTCTGTGCCATGTTACGAAAGGGAAACTGAGGCTTGGTATAGCTGAGTGACCACCATTCATGGTTTTGTAGCTGGTGGTGTCCCTTCCTCCTGAGACTAGAGGGAGTCCTTAGGTGTCCCTGGCAGACCTGGGCTCACACCTTAATTTTTGGTGGAAGGAGGGGAAGGTTCTCAGAGGCTCTGAGTAGCACCTCAGGCTGTGGATTCCTGTCCTATCCCCAGGCCCCTTCTCTAGAGGGGAAGACCACATTTTTGTTAGGAAAGTAGGGATCTAAGAGGTTGAATGGCTCTGCCAAGACCACTCAGATGGCCAGTGGCGGCTGTGAAAATCCAGCATCTATTCTAATCTGAGCTGAAGCAGCAACCAGTCGGGGCCAGGATGACAGGAGGTCCACAAAATTCCAGTGTCTGAGCTGGATGGCATCTGTTCTAGGCCGCAGCTTTCATTGGGAGGCTGAAGACATCGGTACCCAACGGTGGGCTGTGCTGAGGTCCAGACATCAGCCTGGCCAGTGCACTGGCCACCGGGAGGCCAGCATCTACGCTTCCTGCTGCCATGCCCCAGGCCTGGAGTGCAAAATCAAGGAGCATGGGATCTCAGGTCCTGCAGAGCAGGTGAAAGGGGTTGAGGTGGCTGAACACTGGGTCTTGTGGGGTGGTACCCCATGACATCATTTGTCAGGGTAGGGGGTGGATGAGCCAGGCAGTTTTACTGTTGTGTGTACCCCATGTGTGTTTTGCGTGACAGGCAGGGCTGGTTTTGCTTGTCCAGAGGAGGCTCGTTGCCCACCCTGCTGCTCTTTGGAAGCATGCATGACCACGGCAAGTGGGAACACTTACAGTGCCTGAGTGCTTTCTGATTTTGTCATTATTGAGGCTGCTGGGAGGCAGTTGGGAGGCAGCTGGGGCAGGGGCTCTGCAGGGTTTGGACACCGCACAGTGCAGATGTGACAGAGGGCCAGCTGAGTAAGTGAAGGTTGAGGGAGGGAAGGAGCAGCCCTGGGACCCGAGGCCTGACAGCTGGCCTTTTGGAGCCTGAGGCAGGCGTGCCCCTCCTCTGGGGAGAGGGGCAGAGTGAGGCTGGAAGCTGTGCTCTGAAGGGGAATCTCGCTAACATTTTATCAGTGAGCACAAGTACCCAGACAGGCTGGCTCCCCACTCCAGGTCCTAGGGAAATAAACTGGGCTGGGGCTCCTCCTTAGCCCACTGGGAGTGTCCATCGGGGGAAGACAGTAAACAAAGCTACAGGGTACCAAGAGGTTAAGATGAAGGAAAATAGGACAGGAAGAGTGGTGGTTGGGCCTTCTCCAGGGGCAATGCTTCTGGCAGAGGAAACAGCTAAGGGCACGAGGGGGGCCAGCAATGCCTTGAGTGACAAGATCATCTGGGCCAGTAGGGCAGGGTGCTTGCGACTCAGAAGTATGCAGGAAGGATAGGTTTAGGCTTTAGGGATTGCTGAGCGATGTAGTCATGTAAGGTTAAGTGTGCTCTGACCTGGGGTTGGCCAGGCACATAGCTGCTCAGCTGTGGAGAGGTGGCAGGGAACATGCAAGGCTCCAGGCCTAGGAGGTGAGGGCCTAGGTTGGGGTGGGGGATGGGGAAGGTGCTGCAGAGCTGGAGATGGGCGTGGGTGAGGAAGGATGGGTTTGAGGTTTCTTTTGAGCCTCTCAACAGCTGAAGTTGCTATTAGATGGGACGGAAAGCTCTGAGGATGTGAAGGAGGCCTAGCTAGATGTCTGTCCCGGAAGGAGAGTGGTGGTTACTGCGGGGTGCGGCCCTGCCTGGGTCTGAGAGTCAGTAGAGATTGGACAGCTCACAAGTCCCAGACACAGTTTTTTTCCTCTGGACTGTGGCAGGTCACCGTGGCCTGTGAGGCAGGCTGGACCTTGACAGGATGCAATGTCCTCCCCGGGGCATTCATTACTCTGGGGGCCTACGCTGTGGACAACATGTGTGTGGCGAGAAGCCGAATCACCGACACAGCAGGCAGGACCAGTAAGGAAGCCACAGTAGCTGCTGCCGTCTGCTGCCGGAGCGGGCCTTCAGCAAAGACCTGGACTCACCAGTGACAGGCTCAGGATAGTGCCTATGGCTGGGTTCAGATATACCTGCCTGGCTCTCCTGTAGCTGGCCACACACCGTGGAGAGACTCTGCCTGGGAGAATTTGATACCTGGATACCCCTTCCTGGTGTATGTGTAGGGAGCCCCTCCCTCACGGTGGGGGCCTCTGCCAACAAAGAGGTTATAAGGTGGTCGCCTCTGGCCAGCTGCTCCATTGTACATCTCCTGTGGGCACTTGCTACAAGGGTAGCATTCAGTCCTCAGGCCTCCAGGGTTCATTTGTCCTGTGGGAAGGGGATAAGGGAGACCATTGGAGGCTCAGAGACCAAGTGCCAGACGGGGTAATGGAGTGTGCTGTGAGAGCTGCTGGGATCCCTCACAGCCTGCTCACACTGGAGACACTATTTTGGGCTCCCTGATTACATTCAGCTCAGTTCTGCACACCTCTAGGGGTGGATCCAGCGGTGAGGCCATGCCGGCCTCTTTCAGATGTCCTTATCTGTTGCACCCCAGGCTTTGTTTGGCCTTGCTCAGGGTAACTGGCTGTGAGCTCCCAGCTGACTTTGCACTTGAGAGCCTCATGGTGCTGACCCCACCTCACCCCTCTACTATCCTGCACAGTGAAGACTGGCAGCTTCACTTTATGAAGGAGACAGGACCAGAGGTGAGTGCCCGGTGATGTGACACAGCCAGTGGTACCAGGACATAAACCCAGAGTGGCTGGCCCTGAAGCCATGCCTCTTGGCAGTACCAGGCCGGGCACCCTACTTCTGAAACAAAGGAGACAGAGGACAGTCTACGTCTCAGCAGCTTGTTCCTGGACCACTCCGTAGGGCCCTCCCCATGGTTACCTTAGCCCCACTCATATGGACTGTGTGGAGAACGGAGGAGTGACAGAGCTGACTGCATTAGGGCCACACAGGCTGACAAGAACACCTCTATCCTTTTGGCTTCTGCTGTCTTATAGTAAGCTTTCCCAAATTGTATTGCTTTTGTAATGATATTTATTCTGGGTTTTGTAGCGTTTTTACTATGTAGTGAGTTTTTAGAATAAAAGCAGCTGCGACTGCCTGCACCTGACTGAGAAGCACAACTATCTGCTGGGTGGCGGGGCACACAGGCCTGTGATGGGAGCGCTCTCCTTGTGCCCATTCTAGGAACACGGTGTCTTCCTGTAGCCTACTGACTCCTCAGAGTCCTGGTACTTCAGGAAACCTCATTCCCCTCTGCACACCAGATTCTTTGTGGCTCATGGCTACCAGCACACCCAGCTACCAACAACTGTCATCCATCTCTACCCAGTGGCAGGTGCAGTGTTTATGGACTCATTCGCTCATGAGTCTGTGGGTGTTTCTGCAAGCAGACCATGGTCGCTCCTGATTTGGAATGAAGCATGCTCTTAGGTCTCTTTCCAGTGTGCAATGTGCAAATATCTCCCTCGTGCAGTGTGGGACGTCTTGGTGGCACTGTCTTAAGTTAAAGTCTACCTCTACATACTTCTTATGACAAACAGATCTGCCAAAAACCTCCTAATTGCTTTCTGAACATTAGTGTCTTGTGTGGAAAACACTTTAGCTGACAGATGCCAATGGCTCAAATGTCAGAATGGTGTTTGGCACCAGAGCCACTGCACTGGCATTTTGTGCTTTCAGCCCAGTAGAGACTTCTGCCTGTCCCCTACACGGCAAAGGACCATATGCTGCTTGGTTAGACAGCCACACGTGGACAGCTGGCTCCTGCAGACAGTTGTCAGGTAGACCCCCCAAAAATTGGAAGGAGGACTTATCCTGCAGGGAGAGATGTGAACAATGTAGGCCACCAGAATGACTGACCAGAGCAAGAGACTTAGCTTATACCCCTGAAAGCTGAGGCTACTGAGCCTGAGATTGTTCTCCCTGTGCAAGCTGTGCACAGAGACCCTAGAACCAAAGACCAGAGAAGGCAGGGAGGACACAGCCCCTGACTGCAGTGTGGCCCTCACCTGCTGTCAGTGCAGTGCACTAGGAAGGAAGCCCGTGCACCTACGCAGCTCCCGTGTCCCTCCCACAGCCCCAGTCTGACATTCAGAGAAAAATGTCTGGGAGACCCCAACTCTACATTTTTGAAAAATTTATTTCCTACTCTTAGAAGCTAAGAACTCCGCCACACATGAATCAAATTTAGAATCCAGAGTCTTGCCTAGTTAATCTACTTCCTTTTGAAATTTTATAAACAAGATTTTGTACACAAGAGGTAGCAGAGGAAAATTCCAGTCTGCTTGTTCCAAGCTCAAAAGATGCTGCACACACCTTGGTGTTTGCAGGGAGGGTGGGGCAAGCCAGGTGAGTCTGGTGGCTCAAGCTCTGGGTTTTACAGCTACTAGCTGTTGGCAACCATTAGAGTCCACCTGGGGAGCTACAGGCAAGCTGCCTGTGGTAGGCTCATCTGTCTGTCCCAGGATGCCTTAGGAGCAGGATAGCAGTCCTGAGGTCAGCCTGGACTGCAAGAGCTTCTTGAGAACACACAGCGTTGAGTCAATTGTGCAATTCCTGCTTGATTGCAGACCACTGTAAAAGATTATAAAAACATCTTCATCCAAAAATTGGCAGTAAAAATGACAACTCTTCCAAGGTAAGCCTGCCGTAATTGTCACTTTGTGGTACTACGTTTAAAAAAGTCCTCAGTAGGTTAGTGGACTGCAGCTGTTGGAAATCAAGTGGTTACTGGTAACATGGAAAAGATGCTCAATGCAGCAACAAGGGAAGAAGATGGACCAAAGTGAACAGTGCTGGCGATCCTGATGCAGCTGTATGTGAGGACAGCAGGCGCAGGGTGGAAGGAAGGCGTTGTTTCCATAGGAAATAAGGGGACTGACTAGAAGTGGCAATTTCACTCCTGAATTCGGGCTCCTGAGTGCAGTTGCTGGCAATGACATCCACTATGTGTCATTGCCAGCATTTCAATGCATGTCCCACACAATCTTTCTGCAAGCATGGGTGTGAAGAGATGGTGAGTCGGGAAGTGAAACAATGGGACATGGGTGCTCAGGTATTCAAAATCAATTTCAGACCCTCACTTTCAAAAACTGTAAGAACACCAGAACCAGACCAGATCTGCCATTTGCCTCTGTTTCCCGGAAGACACAGCTCTGCTCTTCCATGCTTGTCCTTTCACCTTTGTGAGTCTGACCAAAGTTGGCAGTGGCCTGTGGTAAGCTACAGAGCCTACAACTGAAGCCAGCTACACAGACCATCTACAGCTCAACAGTGAAATGAAGGGTTCCGGAAACACATCAGGGAATGCCACCTGCCTGCCACGTGTACCCACAATGCAAAAGCAACCAAAAAGGCACTTAGGGGCTGGCTGTGCCTCTCTGACTTGGCAAATCTAGCTGACAGTGGCAGCCTGGCACTTGCAGGCTATGTGCATGGCAAGTGGAAAACAAGGCAGAACATGTAACTGAAGCGAAACAAGGCCGAAACTGAGCAATCCAAATTACAAAATGAAAAGAACGCAGGAGATGGCTGTGTAACCCCAGTCTGAAATGGGTGACTGATGCCATGTTGTCAAATACAACTAAATGGATGGTGTCTAATTATTTTTTAGTTATTTCAGAGAAAGTAAGTTTTAAATCTTGCCTTTTCAGTATCAGTCATGTCAAGAAGAAACAAAGTCTTGAATTCTTTCTCTGTAGTAAAATTATGATTAATCTCACAAAGCAGCAGCTCCCAGCCTAGGTACTTAACTCAATATACAATCAATACAAGGGTCACAAGAATTATGTTTAAAACAAATGATTGCAGATCACATGAATTAAGACTAGTTTATTCAATATGTCTCCGAGCATTAAAAAGATAATTTTATGAAGTCAAACTCAATAAAATTATAAAGTGCTTTTAATTTAGCTGTTTTAAAATTTTATTTTGGAAATATTCCATCACTTTTCAGTGACTAATGTCAGAGAATGCACCCTATACTTCTAGAGTACATAGCTTTTTGTTTTGTTTTAAATTTATTATTGCTCTTTTCAATCTCGAATCAGAAAATACCTTAAAGAGCTTAATAATGCCACAATTTCTGATACTAGTAACATGTCATCAAGATCTAAGATTATGCTGAGGGCTCTTAACCAGACAAAACCAGAAATTCTGTACAAAGAGGGAGACATATTAAATACAAAGGTCTGTGTAAACTGGATTCAATTACTATTTTACAATGAAAGGAATTTTATCACATATCTTTACATTATTCTAAATTGGATATTCCTATTCAATGTTGCTGCAGAGTAAAAATTTTCCCTCACATACCTAAAAATATAAAAACAAAAGGACTCCCCCCCACCCCATGTCACAGAGAAAGTCATAGCTTTATCCCTTCATCCTCACTCTCCTATGTTCATGTATCAGAAGTTTGCCACCAGCTGTATTTCCTAAAATGACATGTCAGTGCACATGTACACCTTGGATGGCCGGTCCACACGCCAGGATTATCCCACTGCCAAGCAGCTCCCGGCCTTGTAGTGGCTAGGGAAGGCTTCCTTTCAGAACACATGATCCTCCATCACACTCCTGGCTTGGGCTTGACTCCAGGCTCTTGTAAGGGTTTCAAGGATGAGATTCTGGTTTCTAAAAGGTGCTGAGCATCCCATCTGGACACACTGCTCTAAGGATCAACATCATCAAGGTCACTTCTTAAATCACCAATCATCATGGGAGATTCTGAACCCTGTACAAAGAGAGAGAGTTAAAATTCCTACAATTAAAGTTAGGCAAGAGTTTCCCACGCTGACTTCCTACATCCTCATTGAACAACTTAGTTCTATTTATTATAAGGTAATAAAACACAATGCTAACTATCACTTCTGGCAACTCTTGATTATGTAAAACATTTGCATTTGTATGGTTTTACTCAGTCCTAAAGGAACCATGGGACTGGCCTCAGGCTACACTTTCTTCTCTACACCCACACAGGCATACTCACATTAGGACTGATTGAGCAATGGGAAAAAGCAGAGAGAGAGGGATTGGGCATC